TATAATGTATATTTGATAGGTTTTTCTTTGCGATCTAAATTTTCTATTTTTTTATTTATTCAAGTAGGCCAAAGGAAAGCTATTGTTGACTGAAACTTAAAAAAAAAGAATCGTTACATTTGGGCTAAATCAAAACTGTCGTGGACCAAACATATCTGAGACAAAGTTATCTATAGAGACGGAAGCAAATTGGATGTCTGTGTAAGAGATTATCGAAAGCGTGTGATTGGGGAAAACAGAAGCATTCCATAAGGATTGTCTCAATAGGGCTAAAGTTTCCACATGGCGTCATGGTGTGGGGTTATGTCTGACTGTTATGCTGTTAGCATTTTATTGAAGGCTTAGTAAACGCAGCCAAATATCAAAATATCCTTCAACATTTGTTTCTATCAAGTGCAGCAAATTCAATAGAGACACTTTGGCACAAAATAAAACAAATCCTAAGAAATAACCCTCAGCGTGTTCCGTCGCCAAGTTAACTGGCGTTTGCTGTAGTTCTTCAGATCTCCCCTGTCTCTTTTTTGGAGAGAAATATTATGAAACTTTCATTCCAATCATCTGGGACTTCTCCTCTGTGAAGACATTAGTTGAAAAAGATTTTCAATTCTTCGAGAATAATTTTACTCCCCTCCTTCAACATTTCTACAAGTATTCCATCTGGGCCCGGAGTCTTATTGTTGTTTAGTTGTGCCATAGCTTGTTTTATTTCTAAGGATTCTATGTTAGAGAGTATTTCTGAGTTGACATTCGTTATCTTTTCTGAAGATCTTCCTTTGCAGTGTTATTTGGGTTCTTGATTGAGGAATATAAATCACGGTAAAATGTTTTAGTAACGTTTAAGATTTCCTTCTTTTCTCTTATTTCTTTTCCATCTTTATCCTTCAATGAGATTATTATAGGCTTTCCTAAGTTTGATCTTAAGCATTTCAGGCCTCAGTTCTTTTCTATTATTTTTTCTACCTTGTTTTCATAAATCTTCCTTTACTCCCTTCTTTATTTGTTTATTAAATTCTTTGAAACCATTGGTGTTTCGCTTTCCTTCACTTAGAAATGTGCATCTCTTTTCCATCAACTGTTTTGTTCCATCAGTTGCACATTATGCCTTATTAACTTTTATTTTAATTTGTTAAAAACCTCTTGTTCCAATATTTAGTCGTCAGAATTTTTTGATTATTAAACAATTAATTAAATAATAAACAACATAAAATATTTAATTGAACTGTAAAAATAATATAAAAAAATTAAATATAATAATTTCAGTAAATTGGTATTTTATTCACAAAATAACTGCTTGTTCCAACATATAGTTGTTAGGGCTCTTATTTCAGAATTACGCATTTATTTATGAAAAACAGTACCACAAACAAAACATCAGGAATAATTAAGTCCCAGGCACAGCTCATAAACCCCGATACAATGTATTACATATTTATTTATGAGAAAAAGTACCAGCTGAATCGCTTTTGATGTCTGCTGTAGTCATAGATAAAATATCAGAAAGAAATAAGTCCCAGGCACAGCCCATAAACCTGAATACAATGTATTATAAGGCACCATTAGTGGAAGCATACACACTTCGATACAATGGAGTTTGTTTATAACAAAAGTTAGTTCAATGTTCAATTTATAACAAAGAAATATCATTTTATGAATTATGGATATTTTATTTTAATTTAATCTAAGAAGTTTTCCACATAAGAGATAAAAAAATCCTATTTGAAAAATTATAATATGTATGTTTAAACTTTTACATTTAATTTAAAAGATTAAATAAATCAAATAAACCAGATAATGATATGTGTTTACTTTTAAATTTTCATTTATGATTAAAAAAAAAAAAAAGATAAACATTATACAATAAACAACTACAGACAATTTCTTATCAAAAAAATTGATATTGTATTAAATACACACATACATTTATCATAACAATAAAAAACTGTACTAAGAAATATAATATGTGGATATTAAATAACAAGATTGACACTAAAATATTTTATTCTGATTCCATATACATACCTATTAGCTTCTTCAATATATACCTCTCCTCTACCAATAGAGTGCTACATGTAAATCTTCAATTATTTAAAACAGTGAGGAAGTCTTCATCTGTCAGCTCTTCAGGATGTGTACTGTTCTGTCTTTCCAAGCTTATATTAACTCACATCTTAAATATTGTTCCATATTGAATTAAACCACAATAATTGATTGTAATGAAAATTACATTTTACACATGATTTTGAATTCTATAAATACCCAAACATTTTGTTACTCCAGTCAAAGTGATTTCATTTTTCTGGATCTTCACCATTTCACCTTCATTTTTCTGGATCTTCACCATTTCGCAGATATTGTCTCTTAGATGTGTTCAAAAGCATTAAAATTTTATTTTCTCTTGATTTAAAGATTTTTTTTTTGGCAAAATCAGTCTTGAGCTTTTTCTTAAGTTTCACTTGTCAAATAGCATAATTTATCAAAAGAAAAAGATGCTATCATTATATTTTTATCATCTACAAAAATTTATATTTATGGGAGGCCCCTGGTAATTTGACCCTCATCTAAAAGTTGTTCCACATTACCTTTCTTCGCAACAACAATCTGGCACTGAGACAAATATGACAAAATCCATCTCGATGATGTCCCTCTTGTTCCATACCTCTATAATTTTTGAATGAAAATTTAATGTTCCAGGAAATCAAAAGCTTTTCATAAGTACAAGAATAAATCCACTGAAACTCCTTTTTCTTCCAACGAACTTGTAAAGTCTCCACATTTTCTCCTTACGATATCCATACTGAGGTTTACTTATAAGATTGTGACTATAAAAAAATTCGAATAATCAATAGCAAAGTGCAAGTTCAAATATTTTTTAAAAATGGGATATAAGACATGATATTATTTTTTTAAAATAGTTGTGAAATAAGTTTTTAACAACTTTTGATATTTTTATAATATTTCTGAAAAAATACCAAATTGAACTGAATTCAGGATATTGGCAGTAGAATGGTAGCAAAAGCAGAATGTTAGAAGAGATTATTTTGACACTTGATCAAAACTAGAGCTGAGTTTATGGTTTTGTTCACAGAGATAGTCCCTGACTAGTTTTGGATAAATTTTGGACTGATTCGAAATTAATGTTGTGCACTGGTGCAATTAGGTACTAGTCTTTAACAGTCAATTCTCCGCGAACGATTTCCGGGCGTTTCTGACTGTTTCTAACCCCAAAACATCAACATTTTGTTTTGTTTATATGCACAAGGAGGAACACAGAAGTGTGACAAAGTTTTATTTTAAAGACAATATTGCCAAAATGTGTAAGTAAAAAATAGGGTATTAGCAAAGAATATAGACGTACATGCATTTATATTCTTTGGTACTAGTGTATTAAGATGGAACGATGTCTATGAAGATGAAATTCATATCAATGACCCTCAATGTCCAGAATTTCCTCTAAATCCCATCGTTCGATGTAAAATGATTGCTCATCGTAAAAAACAATACTTCCTTAATCCTGATAAATATGTGTAGTGTTTTTAGTTCCATATTTATAATGTAATAAAATATACTTAATTTTTAATCTCATTTATTTATATTGCTAAAAAGATTTAATTACATTTATTTAAAGTTTTAGTTACATTTATTTAAAGATGTAGAATGTAAAGATTCTATGGCTACATCTCAACAAAAACAAATAATAGGTTAGTTAGTATTAACACTAAAGATTGATAAAAATCTGACAATTTACAGTTTCTATAGCACTTGCACTAACTGAAAATCCTCACTCTAATCCATGAACCAAATGGGCTACTCATGAACCAGTTAAAAACACTACTTGAACATAAAACTCTTTGTCAAAGTCCAGATTTTTAACACAGCGAATGCTTGAAAGCAGAACTGCATATGTGAATCAGTCAGAAACCAGTCAGGGACTGTCTCCGTGAACAAAACTTATGTTTCGTGCTTTGAATTAATTGTATGATCTCATTTATTGCAACAAGTTTTAAGCACAAGGACTAAAAGTTAAAAGGAATATTAAAAGAAAACTCTCTGAAAGACAGAAGTGTATTACGTCATTGGCAGTTGTTAGTGTTAATTTATTAAATTATCTGTAATTTCTTTGATTGTTCATTGCAATTTATAATCCTTCCCTTGTTTTGTATTACCTTTTAATTCATTAATAATATTTAAGACTGTTTTTGTTTTATTATCAATATCGATAAATTTTATGTTTAGAAAAATCTTTCTTTTTGAGTATCAGTGGCGTGAGTATCAGAGGGGTTTTGGGGGGTTCACCCCCGCACTATTTTCCGACGGTGTTAGGCATAAATTTTAAGGACTCAAATCAGAGGTAGCATAAAAAAATTCAGTGCCCAACCAAACCCACTTACAAGAAAATTCTAGGTAAGCTATTGGCGAGTATTATAAGATATCCACATAAGAAAGTTCAAAAAAATGTATTTATATAAATGTGTAATTATTTAAACTTGTCCTATTTTATTGCCACCTTTATTTGGTCTATGTAACCAGTAAAATCTTTTAATTTTTTCTTACTTTTATTTTTTACAAATTAAGTATTCTGATTCACTCAAGAAATTTTTATATTTAAATATGTATCCACATCACTGTCACTGAATAATTCACTTCATTTACTATTCATATTTTATTCAGTATTTTTAATATAATAAATCACTAAATTCAACAATGAAAAATTTTAAATCCGCAAAAATCAATTTGTTATTATTTATTTGTAATACTTGTTTTTTATTGTATTATTTCATTTGACTCCTTTTTTAATTAGCCTACTTTTATATATAAATTTCTTTAATATTGTATTTATTGATTACATGTTTGAATACAGTTAAAAATAACATATTTTCAAAGCAACAATTTATAGTTTTATATATTTTTTAAATCAGAACAATGACCTAAAACTTACGCGCAAATATACACAAACGTCAGAATTTTAATAAAAAAAACCTTAAAAATCATGACATAAATACCTGTTGAGGGTGGTCTTGGACAATAAGGTACAGTTATTGGAGATGCTGGAGTATGATAAAAATCTCCACTTTTTTCTTCCTCGATTTCTATATCCGGAAAAACCTCGGAAAAGTCGGCGTGCGTTTCCTCTAAATCACTAAAAATAGATTTAACTTGAATTCAATTGTAAATAGAGCAATTCCGAGTAAATTTTAAAAATAAAAATTTATTTATTTACACCAAACTACGTATTTGTGAATTTGTTAACCAATAGGACCTTATAATTTAAATTTACAAAAAACAATACTGTGCCTTTGACACTTACCTATCAGAACTCGCCGACGAAGGTGGATCGATAATATTAATTTTAGCAGCCATTTCAAATATTTTTTAAGTAGATAAACCGAAGAAAGTTACCAGGTGATGTGATTAGTTATATAGTTTTTAAAATGTTATTATAAAATGATAACACTTCAAGCACGTCTAATAAAGTGTTAGGTTATGTTTTCAGATCATTTGGAATGTCATTTGTCAAAATTTTCAAAAAATAGGCAAACTTTTGCCAGCAATTTAAATTTGTTGTCATTCTGCTTGAAATTTCTAAATATTACACTCACAAAAACACTTATTATATCAACTTTGTTGTGACATTTAAGAAAAAAAACTAACCTTATTACTTTTTTATATTATCGTTATCGATATCAATAATTTTAATAAATATTCCACTAAATAAAGCACGTATCGTATAAATTAAGAATGATATATGAAGAAATTAAATACAATTTACGTTTAGTGTCAGATGATAAGATAGTGAAAAGAGTTACAATTGTAATTACATTATCAGTTTCATTATTTGGAATCTTATTTAGGTAAGAACATTTTAATATAAGAAAGATCTAACAAATTTCATTTACATACATTTTAGCCCTGTTGGTGCTTTGGTTATCTACGTATCATATCTTTTTGGTTTCACTGTAGCCTGGTTCTTGGTGAAATACAAAACCAAAACAACAATATATTTGCAAAGATTGATAAACTTTTATAGAGACCGCATTAATGTTAAGAAGACGTTGAAGCAGTCTTGTAGCATTTGTGATGATTTGTCTTGCAGAAGACATCAACAAACTAGAAGTATTACCCCTTGGAAGCACATATACATAACAACTGAGTTGAACAATACGATAGAGCATGTAAGGACACATTTAATTATACTATATTCTTTATAAACAAGCTGGTACAACTGTTAACACCAATTCTATGCTGTGTTAATCTCTTGTTAATGTTCTTTGTCAAATATAATTTTTAGTTCATCTCTTTTACTCTCTTATTGTATTGAATTGTAATTGTATTGAATTGTTTTTTTGTTTATTAATTATAGCTAGTCATTAATACATTAATAACTATGTACTCCCTCATTTCCACTTATATTAAAAAATGTAAAAGACACAAGAATGTAAAACTTGTCACCTTATTTAAAAAAATTAAAAAGCTCAAGCTAGTACATAAGGATATAAAAAGGACAGGAAATGAGAGATATTTTTAGTTTCATAAAAGTGAAAAGTATTTCTCATCAGAGGTTCAGAGAATCACAGTTGAGTGCTAAAAAACCTCTCTTAACATATCATTTTTATGTAATCTTCAGCTGTCAGAGGTTTAAAGTTATATTCTTGTGACACTTATCTTAATATGAGATTTGTCTCAAAAGTCTCAAATGTTTGCTCATAACTTCACAATGCTTTGTTATTTTGCTTTATTATATGCTTCAGCATATACAACAGGCTTCCATTGGTGCTTTTTTAAGTCACTGAATCAATTCTGAAAGTCAGTTTTTGTAACGCCATTGGTGGCATTGTCACATTTGTTTAAATCATTTTTATGTCATGAAGTAGTTGCTCTTGAAGCAGCATTTTCAATTTTGAAAACAGTGGGTGTTAGTTCATAATTGTATAAAGAATGGTTGAGTTGTATGTTTCATCAAAAACTATTGCACATGGTTCAGTACTTGCATTCACACATTATGATCATGATGAATACAGTCTCTGCTCACCTAAAAATGATGGTGTTTTCTTCTCACTGAGCTTATTCATGGTGCACAACACTTTATACTGGCAAAAAACATTCAACATGGATACTCAAATAGAACTTTTCATTTTGAAGAGTTTTGTTTTCTTTCAGAGTCATACATATTACAGATATGTGGCCATTTTAAAATGATTTAAACATTCTTTTATGTGTGTTTTGCTCAGATATTCATCTCCAAAGGATGTTTGCATTATTTAGATAGTTTACACACAGCTTTTTTTGAGTTTAAAGTAAAACTTTGCAAATTTGTTGTTAGCATCTTTTCGTCATTGTCAACAATAACAAAATGGAAGTAATGCAAAAAAGACAGTTAATTTTATTGCAAACTAAACAGATCCTGTTACTTACTGCAATATAAGGTAATTTTGTTAAGAGATACACTGCCAGATGGCACTGGAATGTTTTGGGCGAATTTATAAACAAATGTTGGGTACTTCTGGGACAAACCTCATACATGAGTCATTGATATATTTTGTCTTTGAGAATGCCAAGTATACATTTTATTTCATCAAATGTCTTATTTCTATGTTTTAGTTTTATGAAAGAATAATCAGCACATTTATCTCCAGCTGGTATGACCAGCTCACAGATGATAAAGACTTTATTAACGAATTAAGATACTGCTTCAGATTTTCTACTGCAACAATAGTAAACAGGTTATTAGAGCTGGATATTGGTGATATTGTGGCGAACAAGCTTGTTGCTTGTGGAGTAAGACATATTGATGACTATCTCTACATTCAACAAATAGCTAAGCTGAAAAATGTTAGATTCAATGAAGTCGTTATTGAGTATCTGGGGAAAAGATTACATGCAGCTGCTACTAATAGAAAGAACGAGCTGGGGTACTTGACACATTTAGTAGCGTCACTATTAAACCATGTTTTACCTGGAAACTATTTAAAATGCAGGTACAATTTTTATTTGATATATTTTTTGAATTGTTTGATTAAATTATTTTACTAAAAGTATTAAAATTTTAACATGTAGATCGCTAAGTTGTTTCTAAAGTCCATTTAGGACTATTGCATGTAAAATCCTTTTTGATATAATTTCGATAATTATTCTATTGAGTTTTTTCATAAAACTTTGGATATTTAAATTGGTTAAAGTTATTTCTAAAGTCTATTCATATCTTCTTAAGAGTAATGGGTAGATACTCTTCTATGATTCCAGTAGAGGAAAGACCTATCTCAGGAAAGCTATCTTTCCTATGTGAGCGTTAATTCTCCCCTAACATCCACATACTGGTAGAAGTTATGTCCCAATCCAGTCACTCATCCAACATCTATTTATCCCATTCACAAATTTAACTTTTTTATGTAGATTATACATACTGTGTTTTCCTTTACACATTTTTCTTTAGCTTCTTTGACGTCATACATACTTTCTAGTATCATTAATTTCATGTAGTACTTCAAGTCTTGAAACCATATCAAATTCATCGAAAAATTAATTAAACCTTTTCCGCCCTATTATGATCAACATACTGATCCATCTTCAAAAAACAGTAGGCAAGATGAACTTTGAAAGTATTTATAAGTTTTGGTATTATTTATAGTTTCTCCACATGTTCTTATAATTTGTGAGACTACCTGCTGTTTATGTATTGTTACCATTGATTCATTATATTTTTTTAAAGTGGTCAAATTATTTTTTATATATCATGGTTTATTATATGTTCTAGAAATTTCTTAGTAATGATGAGGGAGGTACTAGCCGGATGGGTATTATTACCAATGATGGACGTAATCGCAGATCCAAATATTTTAAATTACCTTGTCATACTAGCAGCAACATACAAGCTAAAAAAGACACCGAAAAGTAATCAAAACATAGAAGAGGTCGAATTTTTATGCAACTATGTATCAACTGAATCCAAAGCTTCATCGTTTGCTACAAGCCTGAATAAAATAAAAAAGAATACTGAGCTACTGTATGCTTTTATGCAGTTTTTGAAAAATAACGATAATGTCAATCTTTTACAATTTTGTTTGGCTGTTGGTATGTATTGAATTTTTATCCATACATTAATTGCATAAGAATACATTGCAGATATGTTATCCATACCTTTTTATACCTAAACGCAATTTCTAAAAAGTATTCAATGAAACTACCCATTTTATTTTAGATGATTTCAATGTAAAGTTGCTGACACCAGAATTAAGCAAAAAGCAAATAGAAGAGCTTCAAGTCGAAGCAACTAAACTTTACAAAGAATATTTAGATAAGAACAGTTTCAGTTTTATCAGTTGTCCGTCAGAGATAGCTGAAGATTTTAAATTTTTGATGCAAGACGATTATGCTGTCGAAAAACTGTCCAAACAGTCGAAACTGCTTTATACCGCATACGATTTTGTCATTAATGCTCTGGAGAGTATATGGTTGCCACAGTTTTTTCATAGTACTGAGGTAAGTTTGAGTTAGATTTATCTAATGTCACAAAAGTTTTGGGAGAATTTGAATGTCGTTTCAAAAAAATTATATATAAAGTTAAGAAAAATAACAAATCGCCTTTTAATTAATTATTTAATTAATCGCCAATCTAATATTTTGTTTAAATAATATGTTGTAATTGAAATTATTCCCAAATCTTTTGTCATACATATTTGGATGGGTTTTGTTTGCTCGTAATGTTTTTGTTTTTAGTTTTATGGGTATATATGCGGCCCTAAAACAATGACTGGTTTAAACAAACAAGGACAAAACAAGTATGTGTTAAATATTTTTTAAAATTACTGCACTACTAATTATTTATTTTATTTCACTTCAACCAAATTTTTAATTAACAGGAAATTTAATATTACTCACTGTTTTATATTATGACTTTTTGATTCCTCATTTTTGCCCATGTTACATCGAGAAAGACTAATTTTTTCATCTTTGTTTTGGAATTTTTATTCTATTTCTACCAACTAGATCATTCTATACAAGTGTTTTTTGATGATGATTTTTGATTTTCACTATTTATTTCATTTGATTCAAGATTTTTTCTATCTGTTCGCTGTCTTGTGATTGATTTATTTATTAAAATGTTTCTTTTAAAGAAAAAAATAATTTCTTCTGTTTTATAATTCTTTAAACCAGGGTTCCCAACCGTTGGTACTCTGCCGCGCTTCACTTATTGTTGTGTTTCACTGTGTCTGCAATCGTCAGTTTTTAATCTAGCACTGTGAACGTTTACTTCATTGAGAACATCGAGAATAGTGGTGATTTACAGATAGATGTAACGTTTTTATGTTGTGCTAATCAATATTGTTATATGTGATTTTGTTTTGTTGTGCTTCCATAATAAACTATGAAGCAGTTTCTGGTGAACCCTGGGACTTGAGAGCGTTAAAAAAATCTAATTCGCAGATATAAAATGTGTTTTCTAAACAAAATAAGGTGGAAGGGGACTTTCTTTCAATTTACACCACCTATTGCAGTTCGCAGAACGTGTAAATCTCTGCTTTAAATGATCTAGTTTGAACCTTTTCCAAAGATCCGCGAAGAAAATCCGTCTGTCAAACTTCATGAAATTGTATATCTGTTAGCTGCTACAAGAAAGCTGCTGAAGATAGCAAGAACCCATACAACAGTTTTGTTGCTGTATTGGTTATCTTCTATGCTAAGATGATCTTAAATATTTTTGGTGGCCTTATTCCTTTGTAATTCTGTTCGTCAGTTTTACTAATTTTGTATATAAAATGGTTATTTTATGTCTCTTGTCATACTATGGTCTCATACCAATGATATTTCAAAATATCTTAATTCCTCTACTGTCTCTGAGTATCCTCACGATGTTTTTTTTGTATATATTTCGGAAGTGAAATATGAACTCTTGACAACTATATTTAAAACCGTTTAGTACTCCCTCTACTACTCCCCCCACTCGTGACGTACCAGTATCGTGTTCTGTAGAAATACAAGAACCATCAAACGGCACTCAGGTCTCAATATGCCTACTCCTCAGTGTCGAGTGAAGACCGGTCTTACCCTGTGTAGCTGCTTTTATACTCTCAGCATGCGCGGAAACGGTCTCAGCGGGATGGGTTCAGGCGGGGGCTGATGAAGCATCAGTCGCCATGTTGCCGGCAGTCGTTTAGCGTTATCATTATTGAATTGAGGTCGGATGATCTCTGATTGTTTCCGGTAAGTCTTATGGAACGGGAAACAAGAGTGTTGATAACTGAATTGGGTTGTTCGAGGTGATAATGTGACTGGGCATTGTGATAACGGTTTGTATGAGTGGGTTTCCGGTACACGGAATAGGAAAAATTGTGAGGTGGGTTTTCTGGATGAGAACATCAAGGAATGACAAAGACGCTTCAGACTCAACTTCCTTCATGAATTGAATACTGGGATGTATTCCATTCAGCTTGGAAAGGAAGAGAGCTAATGTTTCTTTTTCATGGGGCCAAATGACAAAGGTGTCATCAACGTACCGTAACCAGCAGGTGGGTAACGTCACGAGTGAGGGGAGTAGGCAGATTGAGATCCCGAACTCGAATGGAACCGTCTCCATTTCGATAATGGCTCCAAGATGGGTGCAGAAACGTCGAGTATTAAATTCTCAACGAGGTTCTTCCCAAGAACTAAGTAATTTTCATTTACCGGACCGCGGAAATTTATCCTAAAATCAAATCATATCAGAGTTCATTATACACTGCGTGCCACGAAAAAGAGGCCACCTAAAATTTTTGCCATTTTTTTAATTTTTACGAATTATACCACAAAGTGATTGTCATTAGATGTTTGTGTAATGTTTACGAATATGTTCTAAAGCAGTATGCAATCATTTTTTAAATGACAAATGTCAAAAAATAACTTCTTCCAAGATAATGATTTTATTGAAAAATAAAAAAAATTAACATTGTACATTTTTTCAGTTTTCTCTATAAAATTACAATTAAGTCGTGATTAGAATAGAATAGAATTTATTTAATCAATATACAAAAATAGTTTTGTTTTTGACAAGTCAAAGGAATAGTGACAATACTTATAAAACATATAAAATTTTTTTTGGATAATTTAAACATTACAAACATGTATGTATTTAATATTAACAGTTAAAAAAAAACGACAAACACACTTTGTGGAATTATAAAAAAACATGAAATATAATTATAATAGGCAACTGCCCTGACCAAACTAGTACTATTGTGTAAAAGCTGTACTTAAGTACTCCGTTTTTGAATAGAAACAATGTTTCAAAAAGTGTGATTTGATTTTATGCTTAAATGATAACAAGTGAAGACTTTTTACTTCATCTGGCAAAAAGTTATACAAACTAACGTCAGTCGAATTTTTTACGCTCTTTGTCAACCTAAAACGTTGTGCTCTAATAGCATCTCTAGATCTTGTATCGTGATCATGGACGTTGGAGTTTACGTTAAACTTACCTTTGTTGGCATGAATTTCAATCAGCGTCTCATATATATAGAGTGAAGGTAGTGGCATAATACCTAAATCCAGAAATAAAGGTTTACAGTGTTCCCTATACTCTGCTCTTGCAAGTATCCTCACTACTCTTTTTTGTAATTTAAAAATTCGATCTGCGTAAGAAGAATTACCCCAAACAGTTATTCCGTACTGTAAATGGCTATGAAATAGTGCAAAGTAGCACATTCTAAGGGTATTTTTAGGAATCATATAAACTAAGTTGCGTATTAAAAATATACTTGTAGCAAGTCTAGAACTTAAGTAATCTATATGAGCACTCCAATCCAAATTATCGTCTATAAAGATTCCTAATAGTTTAACACTATTTCTTAAGATATACTTCCAATCAGAACTAAAAATCAAATTCTGATTTTTCTCTTCATTTAGCTTTAGCCCATTATGTGAGAACCAGTTTTTTGCTTTCTTGGTATCACTATCTATTTTAATTTTTAAATTATTCTGATTAATATCAGTATTTATGAGAGTTGTATCATCTGCGAAGCAAACACATTTTATAGGAAAAGTGTAGTGAAATAAATCGTTCAGATAAATAAGAAACAAAGTGGGTCCTAATATCGAACCTTGAGGTACACCATATTCGACAGTGTTAAACTCAGAATAGCTGTTATTAAGAAAAACTGCCTGTTTTCTATTTGTTAGGTATGATCTAAATAGATTAAGAGTGTTTCCCCTAATACCGTACTTATGCATTTTTTCCAACAGTAATTCATGCGAAACACAGTCAAAAGCTTTGGATAAGTCACACAATGTCAAAGACACAAAATGACCTTCCTCCAAGCCATCAACTATATCTCTCACAATTTTCTGTATAGCTAGTGTAGTGCTACACTTTTTTCTAAAGCCATATTGATTACAGTGAAGTATTTTGTGTTTTTCTAGATATTCTACCAAACGAACATTTAGAATACTCTCAAAAATTTTGCCGAAAATGGGAATGATTGAGATGGGACGGTAATTTCCAATTTCATCTAAAGCTCCCTTTTTGAACACTGGTAGCACTTTTGTTACTTTTAAAACATCTGGGAAAATCCCCTCAGTAAGACAATTATTATAAAGTATAATTAATTTGTCAATAATAATATCGATTGTTTCCACAATTATTTTTTTGTTTAAGAAATAAAAATCCGTGCAGTGTGAATTTTTCAATCTATGCAAAACATTCCTGATTTCAGTATCACTAACAGGTAATAAAAATAAAGAGTTGCAAGGAGAGTGTACATCTTTCAAAAAATCTATGGCTACATTTTCATTTGTAGAATTAAAAGAACTTCTAATATGTTTAGCCACTGAAGTAAAGTAATTATTGAAATCGTTTGATGTAATCGCGCTTGGACAGACTTTTTTATTTTGAAATTTATTTCTGTGATAATTTATAACTTTCCAACTATCACGAGATATATTTTCAGAATTGGAAAAAAAATTTTCATAAGCCAGTTTTTTCTTTAATGATATTGTTGATTTATAGTGCTTCTTAAATTTTTTATACTCACTATATTCCTTTGTAACATCAGCAATTATCTTGACTGTGGAAAGATTTTTTCGCATTTCTATTAGTTCATCATCAAACCAAGAAATTGGAGCTTTACTATGAGTTCGTGATTTTTTTAATGGAAAATTAATTTCAGTTAACTTAACATACATTTCGGTAATAAATTGAGCTAATTCTGTTGCTGTTTTGAGAGAAACAACTGAAGCCCAGTCAACGTTGTTTAACGACTGTTTTAACATCCGGATGCCATTACTTGTTATATGTCTTCTGTATGGATTAGCACTATGTTTTTTTTTCAGATTTTATTTTTAAGTAGAGAAATTGTGCATGATGATCAGAAATACACGGGTCCACAATTCCACAACCAACTATCTCACTGCTTATGTTTGTTAAGATGTTATCTAAACAAGTTGCTGATCTAGTTGTGATTCTAGTAAATTCATTAATATTTATGGTTAATCCAAAAGTAGAAATTAGATCACGAAAACTGTTTAATTCATTAGAAGCTTTTTTAAAATCAATGTTGAAATCTCCAATTATTATTATTTCTAAAAAATTAGCAGAGCAAAACTCCAATAACTTTTCAAATAGCTCTAGAAAAACTTTAAAATTCCCATTTCCGGTTCTATACACTGTTACTAAAATAGTTTTAATATCTATAATTTCTAATGCACAAAATTCACCCTCAAATTCACATGATATATCATTTAAGCAAATTGGTCGTGTAGGGATTTTATTATCGCTAAAAATTACAACACGTCCATGTTCCCTTACCTTCCGACAATAAAAATTATTAATACTGTGTATTACCACCTCTATTGTGAATTACACTCCTCATTCGATTTGGCATTGAATTGATCAAATTCTGTATGTAGTTTTGAGGAAAAGCTTCCCATTCTTTCATGGGCGCCAACCGAAGCTGCTCACGATTTATTGGAGCTGGTATTCTGTTTCTTACCCTTCGTTTGAGTTGGTTCAAAAATTTTCAATCGGGTTCAAATCTGGACTTTGAGGCGACCAGTTCATTTTTGGCACACCGACAATTTCCAGATATTGCGTTACCATCCTGGCTATGTGTGGCCGACAAACCCAGCAAAAGGCATTACATGCTCGTCTAGAATTTCGGTAATGTATCGGTGTGCATTAAACGCTCCTCTATCAATAAATACGAGATCAGTACTGTCCTCAAATGAAATGCCTGTCCAAAACATTACCGAACCTCCTCCAAAAGCAACACGTACTCGTCGAACACAAGCAGCATATCGTTCTCCACGTCTTCTGTATGTTTTGATACTACCATCTGAGCCATAAAGAACCATCCTTCAACCTTCTTCTCACGGTAGAAGTGCATAAAGGAAACTCGTGAGCATTTTGAAAGCGGTTTTGGATTGATCGAGCCGTAAAGAACCGGTTTTGCAAAGAAGTGCGTTGTAAATAAAGGTCTTCTCTGGCCGTCGTGATTCTTCTCGGGCCTGATCCTGGTCGTCGTTCGTGAGATCCAGTCTCTACGAATCGTTGGTAAATTTTTTGGACCATACAAAGACTGACTCCAAGCTGTCTGGCCACTTCTCTTTGACTCATTCCATTACCAATCAAAGTAATAATTTGAACAGATCTAGCAAATTTCTCAGCCATAGTTTTTAATTTAAAAATTGCACAAGTTTACTCTTCGAACAACTGTACACTAGTGAAAGGTTTTTGAAAAACAGAATAGCCATATTCCAAGAAAAATAAGGTACAAACAACACGTGCATTATCTGAAGTCGTAAAACTGATATTAATTCTGCAAACTTATTACCCTTAATTGACCTGTCGGCACCGTTTATCGGTGTCTAAAAGACGCTAAAAGTGTTTCTGCATTGTGGGAATTTAGTTACAATAGAATAAATTGTATAAACTTAAAGTTATGAAAAATTCTTTACAAAATTCTAGGTGGCCTCTTTTTTATGACGCTCAGTGTAGAAAGCAGTTGTTTCTCTCATGGTCAACTGTACGTAGCATGTTCACATGAAGCCAAATCATTCGCTTTGTTTATTCTAGCGCCTGGCAACGAAACGAAAAATATGGTACTTGTATATCAAAAAGTCATTGAATTAAGATAATCAATAGGGTGCAATTCAACAAATTGTTGCTTCGCTACCTTTTTGAACTTTTATGCAATTTAATTAATTTTACCTTAATATAAATAGTTAATATAATTCAACCATAACGTAACACAATATTTATTAATTCTAAGATGGTACGAAGTCCGCCGAAGCAGCTAGTATTAAAATACGATCAAAAATACTATAGATGATTAGTAGTGTCATTTAATTTGAATTTATTGTTTTTGATTTTTTAGATAATTTATACAATGTTCAGTAACAAAAAAATTAAGATTAAATGTTAACTAAATATTTAACTCATAAAAGAACACTATTTTTTTTATATTATATTATTATTATTCCTTTTCTTAAAAAGTAGAATTACTTCTGCATTTTGCCACGCATACGAAATGTTGCCTTCCCGCCAATATTTACCAAAAAATGGTTTGCTATATTTCTTCTTTTGATATTTCTGGAATATCTTCAGAGCCCACGTTGTAGATGACCGTATTCACAACTCTTGGGTCAGGATTAATGGAAGTTTGGAGTCGGGAGTAGAACTCCTGAATGCGCTTAGCAATATTTCTATTATCAGTAACTTCATTATGTTAAATGTACCACAAGAAACAATTTTAGAACCTTTTTATGTCATGTATAAAGAAAATGGAAGATTTTAGTGTTTTATCAAAAGACTTCTTTAATTTAATTACTATTTTAACGGGAATAAGCTACAATACTTCTTAATTGAAGCGAAAAACCAAAAACCTAATATTTTTTTGTAACTGAACATAAAAATTTTAAATATTGAATAAAACTATTTTTAACATTTTATTTACTAATGCAGAACACCGTTGTTGTCATTTGGTTCTCCAAGTAAAGATAGGTAAGGTAGTAATTTGGAACCATTTTTTGTTTGTTGCTTAATTTAGCTACATTGGTTTTGTATTCACTAGACTTGTGTTAAATACATAAAATATTGACAAGCCTAATAACTCATTATTTCAACAGAATCGTATAATTATCACATTGTTAACAGGTTCAAATTATGAATATCATCCATTTTTTTTTGTCATCTAACCAATAGATTCATGTATATGTTACAAGCAAAGTCCAAAATTGGACAATCCTAGCATTCCAAACAATCCGATAGTTAAATTTTTTTAAGCAAGTGTGAAGATGCTTGGTTCACTTAACAAATATTTTTCGCACAGTTCAAATGTCTACTGCAAAAAAATTCTTTAATATGGAATAAAACAAATTAAGTCTATATTTTATAAGCGTTATTAACAGCTCATTGTTCACTGAAAGAGCACTATGAATTTTAATGTATGATTCTCCAAAATCTTGTAAATCCAAACAAGTTTAAATAATTTTCTTGAAAAACCGGTAAAATGTTTCTTCTGACAAAAATTCATAAAAAATTAATTGACTTTTTTTCATGTTATCACGGTTTGGGTTGTAATACATGTTTTTGAACTCTCTGATTTATTTCCATTAGTAGGTGTCTCTGTTGAACAACGCTTTTGTATATCATTCTTAATTCATTCTCATTCTGTTTCTGTCTGCTTTTTTTGTTTGTTTGGTGGCGATACTGCTTCATGGGTGATATAGGGTCACCCTGTCTGACTCCTCGCCGTATCTTAATAGGCTTCGTTTGTTCAACTATTTCAATGGATGTTGTTGCTTGATCATATATATTGAAAATTAAGTCCGTATATCTATAGTCTATTCTTCCATTTTGTAAAGAGTTCTTTACTGTCTCTGTTCCACCTTATCGAATGCTTTTTCAAAGTCTACAAATGCCATATACATTGGGATTTGACATTCGTTGGCCTTTTCAATTAATATTTTTATCGTAACCAGATGGTCGCTTGTACTGAATCCTTTTCTAAAACCGACTTGCTCTCTTGACTGGTAATTATCTAACTTAGTTGTTAATCTGCTTGTTAGTAGTTTAGTTAACAGTTTGTACATTACATTAAGTAGCGTTATGGGCCTATAGTTTTTCAGATCTTTTCTATCGCCTTTCTTAAATAGTAATAGTGTTATTGCCTCGTTCCATGTGGTGGGTGTTTGTTTTGTGTTCAATATTTTATTCCTTAGTACATAAAGGACTTCCACTGTGTAGTTCCCCCCCCCCCCCCATTTATTAGCATTTTCATAGTTATTCCATCTGTAAATGGATGTTGTAAAATTCCAACAGGTAAATAAATAGAATAAAATAAGGTTATGCTTTAATACCAAACAATGACGCCAGCGCCACCTACGCTTTAGTTTTTGTATAAATTTATTTTAACATAAACTTATGCGTGGATAAGTGTATTCAGGATCGTATCATAGTCAATGAAAGCAGTCAAAATTTGTATTAGATAACGAAAATATAAAGAACTGTATACATGGGTGGTCTGAAAATTTCTTGTCCCTCCGATTTATACAATCTTGTCTAATTCACATTTTATTCAGTGCTGTTTTAATGCAATTATTCACACACACGGCAATTCATTATCATTTAGATTTTATTTAGTTATCTTGTCTTTTAATTATTATTTGTTTTTTGTTTGGTATATTCGCTATTTCTTTATTTCTAAACTCATAATTCAATTTCAGGATTTCATCACAACATTATCAAGCACATCTAAAAACAATAGCATAGCGATCATATAGAAAATTCACATTTGTGTTATTCGCAGTATAGTTTTCACTGTGTTGCTTGACAAGCATTTTTCATTGATATTTTGAAAATATCTTACACACCACAACATTTTCAGACTGAAGAAATACTACGAACCTTCAAGTCAGGGCGCGGTGTCGAAAATCAGTAGCAGTTTGGGCAAAATCAAAGGAGTTTTAAAAAGTAGTCAGCCAATAGAAGGCTCATTCTTTCCTCTCGAATCTCAGACTGTAGAAAGTGTTGCTACCGATGATATATTCCTGGGTGAGTGTAAAAGTTTATTCAGGGATATGAGTACTTGGAAAATCAGCATTCCAACTTTTCAAGTAAGTTATTATATACTTGCATTATAGAAAATTTAGAAAGTTATCGGTTTTATCGTTTTAAATAATTACTGCAGTTGAGTCCATGGTTCTTTACCCGTGCTTCATCATTTAAACCATATGAAATAAATCGGAAATTTACTCCACTCAACAGTCAAAAAAAAGGCACTTACTTACGAAATTCTGAAACATGTTAAAAAACTGCAAAAAGGATCCTTAAGCCTCTTGACAAAGGGTTGTTTTTTTATATACTGTTATGGCTTTTATGCACCCAGACAGGTATGGCAACATAAGAAAAATTGTAAAGAAAATCCAAATATTGATGGTAATTTAACTGATTAAACCCGAACATCGGTAAAATCTTTGATAGATTTATTGCAGCGTAAGTATTATAATATTCTAATAGAGGCAACCAAAATTGTTGCTAAATATAACAAAATAAAGGAATGTTTGAAATCACCAGCATTTGCAATGAATATTTCTACAACTTTTAAGCAGTGCTGTGATTTAGCCTTGGTATTTCCTTTAAAACGTGAATATATATATATATATATATATATATATATATATAATTATATATATATATATATTATATATATATATATATATATATATATATATTATATATATATATTAGTATAATGGTAAGGTTAATTGGGTTAGCAGCTGAATAATGAAAGCCAAAGTGTGCTCTTTTCAACGACTTCGTTATATTTCGTTAAATTTCTTTAACATCTTCAGACGAATGTTGTGTGAGGTTGCAGGCAAAAGTGGTATTTGAAAGTTCCATGTTGAAAAACTTTTTTGAAGATTTTTTTATAAAGCAAAAAAAATATAAGTTGTATGTGTTATATGGTGGCTTGAAAACTCAAACAATACAAGTGCATTTTTGTTATTTTTCTCCAGTGTGATAGTACAATACAAATATTAAAAAACATTGAACATTTAAGAAACAAAACAGTTAAAACACAACTACATATCACATTGTCATTTTTTGGACAAATACAGGTCCAAAAAATGACAATGTGATATGTAGTTGTGTTTTAACTGTTTTGTTTCTTAAATGTTCAATGTTTTTTAATATTTGTATTGTACTATCACACTGGAGAAAAATAACAAAAATGCACTTGTATTGTTTGAGTTTTCAAGCCACCATATAACACATACAACTTATATTTTTTTTGCTTTATAAAAAATCTTCAAAAAAGTTTTTCAACATGGAACTTTCAAATACCACTTTTGCCTGCAACCTCACACAACATTCGTCTGAAGATGTTAAAGAAATTTAACGAAATATAACGAAGTCGTTGGAAAGAGCACACTTTGGCTTTCATTATTCAGCTGCTAACCCAATTAACCTTACCATTATACTAATTAATAATTGGACAGCTGTGATCATTCTTCCTATATATATATATATTATATATATATATATATATATATATATATATATATATATATATAAAACAATGTTCCCACTAATTTCAGCAAATTGGAGACATGATATATCCACAGAAGCTGCAATTAACTTAACCCTCAACTTGTATGGTTATTTAGTTAACCATCTAATGAATGTTAGGTCAATGGTGACCCACGAGTAAAAAACCTGCACGATTTTACATATGCAAAACATGTTATGTTGTAATTTTTTTATTTTATTAATTAAACGTTTAGGAAAAATATAAAACAAGAAAATAAATCGATACAATTTATATAGCTTATTATTCTGAATTAAACATAAACATTGAATTTTTTTGCACATGCTAGATAAAATATGTGTTTTATTTCGCCAGGTAATAATGACGCACGGGTAAAAAGCCATGGACTCAACTGTATAGGAAGTAGTCTTACTGTCAATTCATTTTAAAAGATTGGGCTAGGAATTTTGAGACCTTTTTTTCTTTGTTTGCTTTTTAATTATTTTATTATTCTTCCTCAAGCGCTTTCAAATGACGTATTACTTTTTATATGTTCCAATTTAAGATTATCTTACAAAATGGCGTTGATTCAATATTAATTGCTTACGAATTTACATTACTAAAACATCATAAAATCTATAAACACGTGCATAAGTTAAATTATCTAAAAATTTAGTAATTTCAATCTATAGGGTCTTTCTTAAGTTCCATGCTCCTCTGGTTTCTACCACTTATAGACAGAACTTAGCTGTTGCAGAACCAAATATCTGCTAGACTTAAGATAGTATGTTTAATTATTTTGTCAAATGTCGGTTTTTAGATTTCCTCACGGAGGTGCCATCACTGTGGACTCCTTCGTTACTGCTTCCTTATTCCTTATTCTGTTGTATTTTTTTTTTGTTTTTAAGGATATAACACAATTTACCAAATACCATCCAGATTTTTCCGTATTTGGGTAAAATACATTTTACGTTAGTTTATCTTTCGCTTCTTTGCTAGTCTTAGGTAGAATAATAGTATCTGTACACTTGCACATTTTGATCTATAGTTAGATTCGTGTCTATAATGTTTATTTAATCATATGATATGTTTTAGACTAGCCCTACGAACAAAGTTATATATTTCTACGTCAGTGTTGAAAAAACGGATGCACTTGCTGCCGATACTAAAAAGAACTGGATAGTTTTAAGAAAAGATCAAGACTTTTATACTTTAAAGGCCAAATTAGTAGAATTTCACGGAGAAAGTGAAATTTGTGATTCTCCTTTACCGTCTAGAAAGTAAGTTTATCGTATTTTCCTAATTAGTTTTTTTCTGTGTCTCAATGTCTTATATGTACATTTATTGCGAGTGTTGTCGCGATTTAATTTACCTACCACATTGGGTATCACTTATAGAGGGTTGAAAGTGGGAACTGAGCAATTACTGGGCTGGAGATATTGTAAGCAAACAAACCGAAACGTTTGCGAACGGCAACTTTTGTTTTGGTAGGAGAGCTGGGTCGTAAGTAAGTGAATAAGGGAGGGACTGGAAGCGGTAACTACAAAGAAAGAAATTTACATAGATTTCCTGGGCAACAAACACAATAAGGTTCCTAAACTATTTGAATTTGGACGCCGTTTAAAAGAATCCTCTTGCTGTATAGAAAGAAAGGCTTTTCTTTCCTGGTATCACTGGCTGATGTATTTCCTTTAAGAAAGTTTTTGGGATTGGAATTGAACCAAAACACTGAAAACAACATACAACTATGTCCCACACAAACTGGAATTGGTTTGGAGTGACCATGGAACACAAAATAGACAAGTTCTGGGAGGTAGAACACTGATTCAGGCTTCAGATTATCCTGGATTACAAAAAAATGCAATCTTCAAAACTAGGCCACTCAATTCCTTCTTAAAACCATGTGGACCTCTCAAATGATTGGAAACGCCGTCTTACAAATCTCCCACATAATGCACAGCACAACCAATGGGTGATTAATTTAACAAAAACTGCCAAATAGCATCTTGAGACCAAATTCACATATCAACTTAAAAAAAATTGCCTTTTGAAGACTACACGCCGAAAGCTATCTCTTCCCAAATATCGAAATCTCTCTAACTCTTGACTGCTACTACCACTTTACACTATATTTCCATCACAAAAACAAATAACGAAAACCAAAAAAAAAAAACAGTAACGAATTTGAAGAAAAATCCGGACTGCTTCCGCGGTCCATCGTCGCGTGACATAATTTGCCCAACCCGGTATAAACAAAGCATAAACGGAAATACTCCTGTTTATTTGATGCGCAAAATCTCTAATAGGCGGAATCAACATCAAAAGAATTACCCATCTGTGTTATATAAACTAAAAATGTTTATATTATCAATCTCAGCGACGCAAAAAGATTGAGAATATTTTTCGGTGTTTTAACATATCTGAAAACTGAAATGCTACAGTTTCAAGGCAACATAGCTACAACTTAACTACAGTTAAGAATAAGAAGATGTATTGAGTATTGAGTTAATTTGGTTGTTATTCTCAAACGCATTGGCTGCACATATTTATTTTGAAAATAATGATGTGTAATGTGTGTTGAGTAAAAGCTTTGTTACTACTAAAAGTGAATCTGACTTCATTATCTTTACAAACAGTCGCTTATTATATCTTCATGATCGTAGTATTATGCCTTGGATGAGAACCGAGCTGTTGATGAACATGAGAATTTTCCTTTTTTTTTTGTATAATCAATTTCGATACCGGGTTGCCGGATTTGAAACCACTACGTTTTTCATTACAATTTAACACAAGCCATGTTTAACACAAGCATGTCCAGGTTAACATGGGAAGTTACAAACTTATAAATTGGACATTAATTTTAAAAAGCTTTATTATACATTGTAACGAAAAACCTAACCAAAGTAGATGAATCAAAAGCTGATCGTTCACCAAGACTTAAAGAATACCAAGTTGCTCAAGTAAGATGTATTATTAATCTATAAGAAATAACATGAATGCTACAGAAACGGTCATTGATAGAAAGAAGAAAATTAAAATGGTTTAGACACCTATTGAGAATGCCTGACGAACGTTTGCCCCAAAAACTTCACAGATAGAAGCCCCCTGGAAGAAAAAAAGAGAGACCTCGACGCTTATGGAATGAAGGAACTAGAAGAGTGATGGAATCGAGAGGTTTGGAAGAGGAGCATGCCTTGAACAGGTAGGATTGACGGAGGAGAACGGGAATACGGCGATAGCCGTCTGCAAAATGTATTGTATTTACTAGTTGGATCCTGTAATATAAATATATAACAATGGAAGATTTCGAGAGATCAATATTAGCTCTTTTATTATCTTTTTTATTATTGTATGTAAGTGAGACACCAAAAAAGCTGCATTTAGGTCAAAATCTTTATATCTTCACTACTGAAAATGCTACTACAGCAATGTGCCTCGCGGTGATCTGCTTAATTATCCTCCGCATTTGGGGAATATTTTAATTATGTTTTTTTCAGAGCTGGATCTTCCATAGAAACTAGATTAGTGAAGTACGAAGAATTTATACGAAGATTATTAAAAAAGTCTAATCTGAAAGGCAGCGATTTGCTGTACTACTTTTTGACCACAGAGCAAGATTTCTCGACATATTTGGCAACTAATGCATCCAACATTCAAGACATCGGCAACATTTATCAATCAGTGGCGCATAAGCTAAGAAAAGAAAAGGGGCAGCATCTGGATCCCTTCATGAATGCGTTTTTGATGTCTACTGGAGTTACAAGGACCGAGTAAGAACTAACAATTTTTTATACAAATTATATTTTATTTAGTTTTAAAATTGCAGCAAATTAGAATGGGCAGAGATTGGAGAAGAGACGGATTCGTTGATTTCAAAACCAATGGAAGGTGTTTCTTTTCCGAAAACTTATAGAAATCAGGTGTTCAATGATAATTTTGGAGTACAATATAAAAATTTAAAAGATACGATGAGCAGCTCTTTAAGTCCTGATGGATTTGCAGAAAGTGCTTTCTACCTTAGTAAGTATACTAATTCTAATTCTTCGGTTAGTACTTTTCAAAACTTATAACTAGGATAAATATAAAAATTAATATCCACATTGAGCTTTCGATTCCCCATCTACAGCCTTCATTACTTATTCTAGCTCAGCTTCGTGAGTTCTTAATTAATTTCACTGATACTCTAATTAGTAGTGCCAGTAATATATTTTATATGCCTTTATATGTTTTAGTGAAGAACATTTTTAAAATTCCTAATGGGATCTTAAGACTGTATGCATCGATATGCAGCATAGCTCAACAATTTGTTGATCTGTGTGCCCGTACGATAATTGAAAAGAAAATTAAATCCAGTTTGAGCCAGTCTAACCTGGCATATCTTATTAAACAATTAGAAGGTAAGTAAGGTTTTATTAAGGACTAAAAATCAACTTTAAACTTATAAAGATAGCTGTTTCCCTTGTGTATGTATAGGTTTTGAAGTGATTACTTCTTATCGCATAGTTCTCACTAGTACTAATTAATAATAGAAATTATAGTAGTTTATATTTAACTTTAGATAACATTATTAAATCGGTTTGTTCTAAGCTGATTTCAGCTCTCGAAGTCAGTTCTCCTATAGGAAACTCTCTTAAATCAACTGGCATTTATTTTTTGCAGACTTAAACGACCCCTAATTAATGTCGAGTGAATTTCTCGAGAGCGTGCACAATATAATTTCTACAAATACCACCTTCCGTAAGAGTTATAAAAACAACCTTAAACCCTGGATAAATCGAACAGCAATAAAACAAATTAATCACAAACGACATCTATTGCGGAAATTTAAACAGACCGGGCTTCTAAATGATTTCCAAAGCCACCGCAGATTTTCAAACATCTCTAAAAACTCTTAAGACAATATTTTGAAGCCTATGTCGACAATATAGCGTCGAACTATTGGTTGACATCAGGAAAGATGTTCCTTGAAACGGAAGCTTCATTAATTGCCATTCAGGATCAGATTATATCAACCAAAAATTTCCTGAAATATCCGCTAGGTCCAAAGTGACAAATGCCGATATGGATGTCAGGCCCAAGAAACCATCCAATATATTACCGGGGGCTGCCAGGTATTTGCTGCAACTGAATATAAAGAACGGCATGACTCAAGGAAGTAGGGAAGACCATTCATCAAGAGATAGCTTTTAAACTGGGACTTCTACAAACAAACCATCTCCCATATTATCAAAACGTTCCTGAGAGTATACTTGAGAATGACAACTACAAGCTATACTAGGATCGCGCTGTGCTCATAGACCAAACTGTAGTACATAATAGACCAGATCTCGTGCTAGTTAATAAACTAACGAGAGAAACAACACTAATCGATGTGGTGATACCTAACAACAATAATCTGCGTGTTAAGTACAACAAAAAGATCGCCAAGTACAGAGATCTGGAAATACAAATAAGGAAATAATGGAGAATGGAAGGTACCCAGACGATAGCTATTACGCTTTCTACCACTGGAGTCATTCTGAAGAACCTCCTAGAAGCTGGGTCTAAACGTTACATAAAAAAGCTGGGTCTAAATGAACAAGACCAAACAGAAAGCTCTGCTACTTTCGACATTCAGATGCGTGTGAAAATTTTTGGGAGATACACCGACGTACCAAGTCACCGATGACATAAAAAGACTCGATGACATAAAAAGAGTCCCACCACAGCTCAATCCTTTTGATACGTAGGTATGTGGGATATTCCCCTTAGAGAGAGTGTGAGCTTTATCGCTGAATCTGGAAGTGACAAAGTAAAATTACCAGCCAATGCAAACACTTCAAATGTTGTATACGAAGAGTGGTTGTATACATCTTTAAAGTGTTGGGTCCTAGGACAAATAATTGGGTAATGGTAAGATGGAATGTTAGGTAAGGATAACGGTCAGCTGTTCCTGTTAGTCGCCTTTTACGACCAGTAGGAGATCATGGGGATCTATTCTTCTAATGATCCCATATGGGGAATCTTTTGAATTTGAATCGCCATCATAGGGATGGGGATAGAATGCTTAGCTTCTAATCATATCGTTGGTGGGGAGAATTCCGACAACTATAGACTGAGGTATGAAGAAATGGTATAAGATGCACATTATTTTAAGCGATAACCTCGAGTGTTTTTGGTTGTATAATTAATAGATGGGTACAAACTAAACAAGTCTAATTTTTTGGGTCGTTGATATATTTTTTTATAAATCGACAAACATTATGGTAGTGAGGATGTTCGATTCTGATAATGCAACGCGTTCGGATTGCCTTAATAGGATTTTGAGAACTTATTCAATGTTTGAATTTTAGACGCAATCTTTGAGGAACATACTCCTGTTAGTAAAGAGGAATTATCGAAAAGGAGGGTAAGAGCGGTGGAAGAACTAGAAAACTCTATCTCAAATATATTGACTCAAATATTAGGACCTGGAATTAAAGATGGTGCCAAACTGTTATTAGAAATTGTTCAAAATCCACATTTTAACAAACAGGTAACCTGGTTAATTTATTATCTATACTAAAATTATATAGACGTTGACAAAGTATATAGGAATATGTACTATTGTTATCAAATAACTCCTTGGATTTACATAATAATCATAGTATATTAATATTTATTTCTTTTTCAGCTTGCCTACAATTTACTGGATATCGTACTGACAGAAATGTATCCGATGCTGGATAAAAATGAAGAACACTATTAAAATTTAATAATTTCGACAGCTATAGCATTTTATGGAGGCATTTTATTGTACAAAATATAGTATTAGAAATATTTATACCAATGTCGGAGGAAAAATTTCTATATTAGAATAAGATGAGGAATTAAAGGAAAAGAACATACTGCCATATAGAAAAGCTGGATGACAGCATAATGAGGGAAATATCCATACTGATTCAAGAAAACATCATCGTTTAAATTATTGTTGTTATCTAAAAGTTACACAGACACGAGAAATATTTACTTGGGTTAGTAAATTTCTGAGGAAACTCAGCGATTATACTACTACACTGATTTATAGAAACTAAAAATAAGTTTGACCGTTTAGATCACCTTTAATGAAAAGAGAATTAATTATTTTATTATTTTGTCAATCCATACGTTACCTTTTTGCAAATATTGGGTACTGTATTCACGATTCTACTGTGTTTTATGACACGATTCATATTTACTAGGTTTATGTCCAGTAGTAATCTAACAGACAGATAGCAGCTACTAATGATTAATTATGGTGTGGAAAATAACAAAAAATATTATTATTTGTTATACAAAATAAGTATTATTCATGATTCCAGGAAATAAATTGAACCAAATTAGCCCGACAGCCAAATGATAATGAAAAAACACCAATCAGAAACCGTTACGTCTCGACGTGCGATATGTCACCATTTTGTTGACATTTTCATGGAACACAACAGGTTACTTTTCGTTTTTTTATTTTTATAGTTCAGGAGCAAGATAGCGCAAGATAATTATAATTTACTCTAAAATTACTAAGTTTTAAATTCATTTAAATTATAAGAATTAGATGGTATTATTTCAATTTTGTAGTCAATAGCCTATTGTTTTAATATAAAGAAATAGGCCCATTCATCATGTGACGAGCGCATGAACAGCCGCCATGTTTTTCGTACTGTTTTGATCCACGGTTCGCAGACTTACTCGGTGGTAAGTCTGCGAACCACCACGAATATATCTGCCGAATAATGTGCAGAAATAAAAATAATTATGTTGCAGTAGTTAATAAGAAATTTTAAGATATTTAGGATGAAGATATTTGAGTATTCTCAAGAATAGCACGATCTACCTTATAAGATTTTTTATGAATACTATTAATTTATTTTCTGAAGTACGGGCCATTGCTTTGTTTACATATTTGTATACTAACCTGTGGACCGTTATTCCTGAAGATTTTTTATTAACATTTCTTCTGCTACTGCAACCACGTGGAGAACAAGAAACCATTATTATGCATTATCACAATATAATACAGTTTTTATAAAAGTAAATAACCATACATGATCTGACACAAAGATCATACCAGTATGGCCGAAGTGAGGACGTTTTTAGGCATGTGATGTCCTCTCCATAGATTCTAACTCGATGATTATGTCTCACAGGTACTATATTGTTATTTATATTACTAACCTAATCTAACATGCTTGTTTATAACAAACAGTACGAAAAAATGGCTGAAAAAATTTGTGATGAAAAGGCCTATTGTCGCAATTAACAGTACAGTGTTGCATGATTTTCAATAAATTATAAAATTCACGTAACATCGTGCTTTCGATTAATATTTTAGGAACGGGGCTTTTGAAAAATACTGATGTCACATCTTGTGTGCACAGTTTCAGTTAGAAATTTGTATTTTAATATTTTACTTGACTTCGAATTGTATTCGTTAGTTTAAGGAAACATCTAAACACGGGCAACACTGCAACGTTAATTGTAAGCTGCCTACATTTGGCGCAATCGGAAATGTAAAATGTAATTTGCTTTTTTAGAGGTATACAACTTTAAAATGGAATAAAAAAAGATAAAGATTCAGCTCCAATCTCAAGGTTCATTTTTCGATAACTTTTTGGGTCATTTGTATTTGTATATCGTCAATAATGCGGCAAATGTCGTCCAAGTCTTCATTTTACGTATTCATACAGAAAATAGTTTTGCGATGTTAAATCTCACGATTTTTGTATCGTTTCCTTCAATAAATTGATCGTTGCACGCGCTTAGCCATCTTGTCGAAATCACAGCTTTTCCGCATTAACTTTAGTCAATTTCAGGTAGGAAAAAGCAAGTGCCCATGGCACTTTAGCGGTCACCATTCAATAAAGCGATCATTGCCCGAACTGTGTGATATGTTGAACTGTCTTAGTGAATCCACAGCTCCTCCACATATACATTTTCAATTCAGATAGGAAAAAATGACCTTCATCGCTAAATAAAATTCGCTTATGCTTATGAAAAATTAGGATCAACAGCAATCTCGTTTTAGTTCATTCACCAAATTTACGCCTTGTACGGTAATCGTGTGGCTTCAATTCTTGCACGAACTGGATCTTGTAAGCATATAAAACGAGATCTCTTTTCGAAATCTTCTATAAAGTGGATGGACACAAGTTTTTCTTCTTTTTTTTTTTTGGTACATCCTTGAGCGTGAAATTAGGAGAAATATTTTTAAAACAGTTTATCAAGCTGATGTTTCGGTAGTCACTGTATCTTTTCGCATTGGGTAACGTCGCAAAAGTCGACAGCAGCCAATCCGTTGGTATATAGCTACTCTCATAAATTTGATTAAAAAGATGAATAAGAGATCTTTTACCTGTACTGTCAAAGAGCTTCATTATTTCACTCGGTATTTCATCTGGTTTCATTGCTTTTCTGGTCTATGTTAATCTTGTTGCTCATTCTATTTAGTCTTTAGTTATGTCAGGTCCTTCACTTGAGTCAATTTTACTTAGTCTAATAAGTAAATCAAAGATCCATAGGTATTTGTCAAATTAAAATCTAATGATTTGTCTTCAGTCATAATTTAAGCAAATCTTTTTCCATTAAACTTTTCTATTATATATTTTGGTTACTATATAAATCATTAAAAAATTTAGAGATTATAAAATATATAGGCGGAATCGCCAAAAAATAAAATTCCATATATTATCAGAAAATGGAGATCTGACAACAGCACAAATATCGGCCATAATACACTCATATAAGAGAATCATATTATCCTATTAGCTGTTCCTGACATGTGATGTCATGCCATACATTTGTCTTATTTTATGTGTTCATGTCTCACTATTATTCATTAGTCATTAATTGATATTTCTGAGGAGATGATCTTACTGTATTGGACATTCATTGAATTTATGTTTGTAAATCGACTGTACAGTACATTACTTTGATCTCTTTATCTCCTATTTTGCGTCCTTTTCATATTTTGAATTTTTTATCTCGTATATAATTAAGTTGCTATACAAGGGGACTTAATTAAAGTTAATTATTATAAATTTGAAATATCTAGTTAGTATTACCTATTATGAAATAGTTTTCGTATTAAGTTCTATTAATAAATTTAGAGCGAATGCAAAATGTGATATTACTTTCAAAAATCATAAGTATTTTATATATTTATATTGTTATAGTTTTATTTTGATTGATTTAATAAATGTTTTGATGTTTATTACTTTTTTATTTGCTTAATGTGCTAAATGTATTGATACAGTATGCCAGGATGTTAACCAAGATTATGCTTGCTTCCAGTAAAGGTTTCGGCTAGGTCACACATGAAAAACTTTTTGATATTTTATAATCATTTAACAACCATTATAGTATCGAATCGATACTACAGGCCAGCAAAAAATGTTAAAAACATTCAGAGAATGCGGAATAGACCATCCCTACACTAACTAACAATCCAATATATCTACCGAAGTGCCACGGCTAGCGTAAGACTATCTTAAGAAACAAATTAATGTATCGTATACAGCGAGAAATACGACAAGAGGATACTGTCTCTCCGAAGCTAGTGACGACGCTTTTAGAATATTCTAAGAGAGCAGATCTGAACGATTATGATATCAACTCAAATGGAGAGAAGCTCAGTCATTAGAGATTCGCAGAAGGCATCGTTCTTCTAGCCTATTGTATGGATGATGCAATAATAATGATGGAAACATTATATCACGCAAATAGGTAAGACAAAATTGTATCAAAGGAAATTGATAGAAAAAAAGTCATTAGACAGGACTGTATTATCTATCAGAGGGCTTTTAACATATATTCCGAATACATCTTTCGAAAAGCTTAGAAGGCAAGTAATATTAAAAATAAAATAGGTTCTGTTATGAGAATATTCACACATGAAATGATTACATTACTTACTATATTTACCAATCAACACATTTCCATCGTTAGACCACAATTTATGAGAGGACGTGATGCTAAAGACGTAGCAAAAACAGAAATGCAAGCATTTGTGGGTTTGGTATAAGATAAATTTAAAGAAAATTAAATGCATGATTATGACTAAATCTGCACATGCAAATATCCAATTGACTATTGAAGATACTGCAATTGAGAGTGTTAATAACTACTATAAATACCTAGGAACATGGATAACATATGTAGACCAAATCAAAGAAATTAAGACACGTATTGAAATATCACGTGCATCATTCATTAAACTTAAAAAGTTTCTTTGTTGTCGGGATATAAGGTTAGAACTACGCCTGAGAATGCTTCGGTGTTACGTGTTCTCTACTCTTTTTTATGGCTTGGAAGCGTGGACACTAAAACAAGTCCATCTGAATAAGATGGCCGCCTTTGAATTTTGGTGTTACAGAAGAATCTTACGAATATCATGGATTCAAAGAATGTCAAACGTGGAAGTAACTAGAAGGAGAGGAAATGGCGGAAATAATATTAACTATCAAAAGACGAAAACTTGAGTACTTAGGACATGTGATGAGAGGGCAAAAATACGCATTATTACAACTTATTATGCAAGGCAAAATTCGAGGAAAGCGAAATGTGGGAAGACGAAGAATATCCTGGCTTAAGAGCTTAAGGGAATGGTTTGAATGCAGTAGTGCAGAACTTTTTAGAGCGGCAGTCAACAGAGTCCGCATAGCCATGATGATTTCCAACCTTCGATAGAAGATGGAACTTAAAGAAAAAGACAGATGGTACCGGCTCTGAATG